CCCCCCCGACTGGGGTGTCTTTGCAATCGCAGTCGATGGAGCCCGATTTTATGAGTCCCCACGGCAGAGCCCATCCCTCTGCACTCCCTCCAGCCAGCCTGCGGTCAGGAGCGGATTGATTTTTATCTTAACTGCGATGACTACACGCCTAAAAGTCACCTTTACTCTTCATCTCCCTGGCCAGCGCGAAGGCTTTCTGCTGGTTCTCTCCCCTTTATCCTGTTGTTTTCTCCCCAGAGAGTCAGAAAATTGAGGTACAATGCCAAAGCCAGGATTCCCAGAGAAACAAATCCCAGTCTCCATCTGAAGCACAACGTGACATCCCAAGACCAAAACCCCAAACAGGGTGAGACCTAGCAGGGAACCGTCCCGATCCGCTTATTCCTCTCCCCCCTCGGTGCATCTCCGAGCATCCTCACCCCCTGCCTGACTCCCAACAAGCCCAGAAACCCTGAGCAGCACAACCCCCGGGGGGGGGAGCGGAATTCAAGCTTCTAATTAAGCTCAATTACTCCTGAAAACAATTTTTAAACTATCCGGCGAGGTTGCTGGCCAAGGCAAGAACGCTGCACCTGCAAGTTTTAATTGCAAGGTTGTCACCGCCGAAGCCAAGCTATCGGCGTGGTTGGTGCCAAGGAGTCTGTGCCGAGCGGTGCCGGGTCCTTCGGCACCGTCCTTATCGCAAGCCGGGGCGGCTCGGCTGCTTTCTGACGCCGGGAAGGTCTGGAGAAGGAGGAAAAAATGATGCAGATGAAAAGCAAAACCACGAGGGAAGAGGTTGAGACTGCTGTGATCCCTTTGCATCCCTTCACATCTCTTCCTCTGGCTCTGCCTGCAGCAGAAATACCCGACGCCCACGGCGAGGGTGGGGGGGATATTTTTAATTCTGCCAGAGCAGGGAAAACCCACCGGTACGAGCACCCCCAAGTTCTCACTTTGCCACCACCAGCTCGTCACCCCTTGGCAGCCACCGCCCTCTCCCAGGACCCGGCCCCGCTGCGGTTGGGGAAAAGAAAAAAAAACAAAAACAACCAAACCCAACAAAAAACACATCACGTTTCCTGCCGCCCCGCGCTTTCGAAGATACGAAGCAGGCAGCGTCCCCGCTCGCCCGGCGGCCG